TTCTTCGTTTAATGGTAATGTTATTAAGCTTATCAAACGTTATGAAAAGAATTTACATAAAATAAATAAACAACTCTTGTCTATATTATTTAATGAAAACACATATATATATATATATATATATATATATATATATATATATATATATATATATATATATATATAATTAAATATGACAGACAAGGAAAATTTAATTTATTCTTTTTTTCCGTTTCTCAAGCTTTCTTGCACTTTTTACGTTCAGTGAAATTAAAGAAGTGCAAAAATTGTCTATTGTACCACGCGTTTTCGGTCAAATTTTTAGCCATTTTCAAGGGGACTTGTTTTAGGTTTTGTTAGCTTCTCTTCATGTTTTGACTGTTTAAGATGTATTTTATTTTTGTGTTGTTTTGTATATTAGTAGGAGTGTTTATTCAGAGCCTTCTCACGTGGAAGGCGGCCGAAATTCGAGTGAACGTCTTTCTATTATTTTAAAAACTTTCAACGCATCATTACCACTGTTAAATAAGGTGAGGTTGACAGTAGGGGAGAGATGTTTGTATAAAGGGCCTTCTTAGATCGATCTTTCTGGAAATGTGATTTATACAGAATTTTAGTGTTTTCGACCAAAATATTCCTTAAGAGTCCGTGTAAATTGTGGAGAAGTTGACATCATTTTATAGTACTTTGTTCTGATAAGTGACACGAGGTTCTGTCTATAATTCTGAGATGAGGTATTATGTACACGATTTACATTGTTCGGACTATCATTCTTATCTTTGCTACCATATTTAGCTATTGTTCGCTCCGGCCTTCTTCAGGTGGTTGGAATGTTGAACTGAACCATTTATTTCGCTCGCTGGGGTAGATTGTTCTAGTTTCATGTGCCAAGTCTAATGGATGCCAGTTATTTGTTATCTCCTGTTAATTCACGTCTCCACTGCCTTAACCAGGTATTGAACTCATGACTCTTTGGGTTCTGTCACTGGATCTAACCAACGCCTTTATCTACTGTGCCATGTGCCCTTAAGAATCCAGTGACAGGACATTGGCATAAATATGGCAAAAAAAGATTAGGACGATAGTCAGAATAATGTAAATAGTGACACGAAGCGAAGGGGCATTTGTACTCATAGATGCCCTTTAAGGAACTGTGTTCCTGATTAAACCGGCCTCATAGATAATTACATCGGTTACACAACCACATGCTTATCTAGACGTCTTACATTACACCTATCTGACCACAGCTCCATTAGAACACATTTAAACACACACACAAATTTACCAGACTCCATTAGAAACATACTAGTAGAAAATACAAATATATTAACTGCATCCACCTGCAAAAAAAAAGACTAAAAATAATGGAAGCTTTAATAATAAAAAAGAAAAAGCCAACTCTTAAGAATATTAACTATGAACAAAGCCAAAATGTGTTAACCGTATTCGGAAATTAAAAAAAAAATCCTTACTACACACTAAGACATACACATAACGCACACACTCAATTAAGCTAAAAAATCGTATTAACCTTGATAATGGCTAAAGGTATAGCCGAAAGCGCTCCGAAATATAAAACATTCGGACAGTTCTTACACAGCCTTTATCCAGAAAACAAAGCTCTTGTTAGAACACAAAAAATTAAATAAAAAGCTTAACCGTAGTACCTTGTCTGTCGTTTTTAATGAAACATGCATAAAGGAAGGATTGCTGCCTAAATATACAACTATATATATATATATATATATATATATATATATATATATATATATATATGTGTGTGTGTGTATGTATGTGTGTGTTCGTGTCTATGTGTGTCTCGATGAATATGACAGGCACGGAAAATATGATCAGATTTTTAAGTTTATTCAACATTCTTACATTTTTTTCGTTTGATAGAGTAAGGGCATAAAAACGAAAAATGTAATACTTGTGGAAAAAACTAAATAAAATTAATCAAATTGTCAACAAAACATGTGTAAAAGAAATTTTACTGCACATATATATATATATATATATATATATATATATATATATATATATATATATATATATATATTTATTTATTTTAGGATGTTACATCAAAAACATGTACAAATAAATGCTGCACAAAGTCTATATTAACACATCTCTTCAGTGTTAGTAAATAACTGGTGTGTAGACAATTTATGGAGATTTAAAAACAACATACGCCCTCTTTTCTCGAGAAAATGAAGAAAAGAAAAAGTGTAAGAAAGGAAGGCACAAGATGTAGATTCTTTTTTCCCGAATAAAGGAAGAATAAGGAGATTAAGAAAGAAAAGTTGCAGGGTTTGTTTTGTTTTTATTCAGATCGACCAATCGGAATGACCTACCCTATGTTCAAAGTATGGGGAAAAACGAAGGCTAAGAAGCAATCATGAGGTCATGATCCGCAGACGTCATATTTGGTTCGGATGTAAATTGGCTACAATGTTATACATTAGACAAGATCATTTCCTATGAGAGATGAAAAGTAATTTAAGCAGATTCTCAACAAACTGCATACACGGCAAGTTAAAAAAAATGTCTCATTTTTATAGTTGGTAAATAAACCCGCCCTTTAAGAAACAAATGGAAAGTTTAAACAAAACAGATCTAAAAAATTATTAAAACATTTTGATCAAAGAAAATTATTTAGACATATATATCTAACAAAATTATTTAAATATATAGGTCATATATAAAATAGAATGCAACTGTTAACTAAAGGGTCTTTATATAAGGTGTTAATAAATCCAATCAATGCAAAATGTCAAAATGTCACCCAAATGCTAATACATCTATACTAAATATTACCAACACTACTCGAAGATTAGTAAAAAATAATTAAACTACGTTGAAATTGATCTTACTAACAGAATGATAAGCCTTTTGTAGTGCAACAAGGTTTAACTAAAATCTAAGAAGACGGAATTGTCAAATTTCAAAGTTTAACAAGATTGTAGAGTCAAAGGTATGGTATATTTATAATTTACCGTTAATTCAAGTTTTTGATGTAATAAAGCATCTCTATCCAAAAACCTGATGATCTGCATTTTTCCTGTAAACACAGAAAACAAGTTTCATATAAAGATTAACAACTTCTTTTTCTGTTTTAATATTTTTTATTTCACTTTAGGAATTTTACTTTCAACATTTAACCTCCAAACATATTTTGAAAGTGAAGTATTATTTCTAGAAGTATTATTAATATAAGACGATCTGTGTTGATACCACCGGGTTTTGAAAAATGTATTAGTACTGACAATATAGAAGTTTTCAACCCTTGGATTTTCCATTGTAGATCTAGAGCAAAGATACACAAGAAATTCGGTTAAACATTTGACTCCTAAAACTATATTGGTTACTATCCTTAACAATATTTTCATTGTTATTTGTATCATGTTTAAGATTATTAAATTCGTTTAGAGTTCTAGTGTTGTGCAACTTTATGATTTTTTCCGAGATTATTGGTGCAAATATAACTTAGTTTTAATGTATTTCTATTAAAAGGGTTGCTTTTCGGAAAATGTTTATCGATTAATTTGAGAAACTTATCGCCTAACTTAGTACTAATTGATTAAATGGAGGTGTGTACCAGATGATTTTCCTGTTCTTATTTCTTTTCTTTGAATTGCTGTCATAATATTTTCTAAACTGAATTTCAGCTCTTTATACCCGCTATTCTTTAGATCTTTATTGTACACACTGCTATGTTTCTCAAACACATCTTTGTCCGATGAGTGGTTTCTTATCCTACGTTCTAAAGAGGAAGTAATATGTTGAATTACAGATTGAGGGTGATTGGAATTGGGGTGATACAGATTGACTTGACATTATTTTTCATATAAGGCTGAAAATTATCAGTAGTTACATCTAACATGACATTGAGATCTAAACTTTTTAGTTCCCTATCTTAGTTTATATACCTTGCTTTTCGTGGAGTTTTGCTTTACAACCGTAAGACCATCGTCTCTATATAGCGGTATACTATCTAGATTGATAAGATAAGATTATAGAAAATGTATAAACCAACTAGATCCGAAGAGATAGCTGAATCCAATGACTCCATTGACATGTCAAACTTATCACCAGAATTCTTAACCCTCTGTTCGTTATTATTGATGCGGACAGGTCTCTTACAGTTCATTATAATACCTATCTCTTCACTTTAGATGTTAGAATACACTTTGGCAAATTTTAATATCAGGGTAAAGAGGTCCTTGGAGATTGAAGGGTAGAAATCGACGATATCAAACTGGATAAAAGTGAAGTGGTTTTTGTTGCCGATGCTTCTAAACTAGTTAATAACCTCCATGGTACCAATCCAATGAATAAGTCCAAGGAATTTTGGGATCTGTTTATCGACACGTTCAAGGATAACTTTGCTTATGCTTCCAATTTCCGATCTGGTAGTGTTTATGATCCTTGTATGAAGTTTGATCTAAAAATCTGGCTTATGATCTTATATATATATATATATATATATATATATATATATATATATATATATATATATATATATATTTGGTTATAAATATCTTTGTTCTTAACGATCTTTGTTCATATCTATCTATCTCTCCATTTATCGATCTATCTTTGTATTTATCGGAATTGAGTTTTCTTTCGTGTTAAGCCCCTTGATGATTGTATGACTGCCCACATAAAACGCGCGGACTCATGAACCTTTGCCCATCGCGAAAAGAGCGATATATATATATATATATTTTTAGGTCTGATGAATTGGATCGTATTTACGATTCCAATGGAATAAATTATGACCATGGAATATTAGTGTTTAAGCCTTTTTATTATATCCTTACTCTGTCCTAGACATTGAGTTCTACCCGGATTCTATCCTCTTGGAATTATTTTTTATACAAATATATATGTATGTGTATGTATGTATGTATATATATTTATATATTTTGCATATGTATGCGTATATTTACCACTAATATTATCTATATATATATATATATATGTATGTGTGTGTGTGTGTATTGTGTGTGTGTGTTACTATGTTCATACCTATCTATCTATCTATCTATCTATCTATCTATTTCAGTCTGTTCATATTTATCTAAGTCTGTTTCATATCTATCTATCTATCTATCTATCTATCTATTTCAGTCTGTTCATATTTATCTAAGTCTGTTCATATCTATCTATCTATCTATATCTATCTATCTATCTATTTCAGTCTGTTCATATTTATCTAAGTCTGTTATCTATCTATCTAGTCTATCTATCTAATCTATCTATCTATCTATCTATCTATCTATTTCAGTCTGTTCATATTTATCTAAGTCTGTTCATATCTATCTATCTATCTATCTATCTATCTATCTATCTATCTATCTATTTCAGTCTGTTCATATTTATCTAAGTCTGTTCATCTATCTATCTATCTATCTATCTATCTATTATCAGTCTATCATATTTATCAGTCTGTTCATATCTATCTATCTATCTATCTATCTATCTGTTCTATTTATCTATCTATTATCAGTCTGTTCTATATTTATCTATTTATCTAAGTCTGTTCATCATCTATCTATCTATCTATCTATCTATCTATCTATCTATTTCAGTCTGTTCATATTTATCTAAGTCTGTTCATATCTATCTATCATCTATCTATCTATATCTATATCTATCTATCTATCTATTTCAGTCTGTTCATATTTATCTAAGTCTGTTCATATCTATCTATCTATCTATCTATCTATCTATCTATTTCAGTCTGTTCATATTTATCTAAGTCTGTTGTTCATATCTATATCTATCTATTCATCTATCTATCTATCTATCTATTTTCAGTCTGTTCATATTTATCTAAGTCTGTTATCTATCTATCTATCTATCTATATCTATCTATCTATTTCAGTCTGTTCATATTTATCTAAGTCTGTTCATATCTATCTATCTATCTATCTATCTATCTATCTATCTATCTATCTATTTCAGTCTGTTCATATTTATCTAAGTCTGTTCATATCTATCTATCTATCTATCTATCTATCTATCTATCTATCTATTTCAGTCTGTTCATATTTATCTAAGTCTGTTCATATCTATCTATCTATCTATCTATCTATCTATTTCAGTCTGTTCATATTTATCTAAGTCTGTTCATATCTATCTATCTATTCATCTATCTATCTATCTATTTCAGTCTGTTCATATTTATCTAAGTCTGTTCATATCTATTCATCATATCTATCTATCTATCTATCTATCTATTTCAGTCTGTTCATATTTATCTAAGTCTGTTCATTCATCTATCTATCTATCTATCTATCTATCTATCTATCTATCTATTTCAGTCTGTTCATATTTATCTAAGTCTGTTCATATCTATCTATCTATCTATCTCTATCTATCTATCTATCTATTTCAGTCTGTTCATATTTATCTAGTCTGTTCATATCTATTCATCTATCTATCTATCTATCTATCTATCTATCTATTTCAGTCTGTTCATATTTATCTAAGTCTGTTCATATCTATCTATCTATCTATCTATCTATCTATTTCAGTCTGTTCATATTTATCTAAGTCTGTTCATATCTATCTATCTATCTATCTATCTATCTATCTATTTCAGTCTGTTCATATTTATCTAAGTCTGTTCATATCTATCTATCTATCTATCTATCTATCTATCTATTTCAGTCTGTTCATATTTATCTAAGTCTGTTCATATCTATCTATCTATCTATCTATCTATCTATTTCAGTCTGTTCATATTTATCTAAGTCTGTTCATATATCTATCTATCTATCTATCTATCTATCTATTTCAGTCTGTTCATATTTATCTCAAGTCATGTTCATCTATCTATCTATCTATCTATCTATCTATTTCAGTCTGTTCATATTTATCTAAGTCTGTTCACATTCTATCTATCTATCTATCTATCTATCTATCTATCTATCTATTATCTAAGTCTGTTCATATTATCTATCTATCTATTTCAGTCTGTTCATATTCATTATCTAAGTCTGTTCTATCTACCATCTATCTATCTATCTATCTATCTATTATCTATTTCAGTCTGTTCATATTTATCTAAGTCTGTTCATATCTATCTATCTATCTATCTATCTATCATCTATCTATCTATCTATCAGTCTGTTCTGTTCATATTTATCTAAGTCTGTTCATATCTATCTATCTATCTATCTATCTATCTATCTATCTATTTATTTCAGTCTGTTCATATTTATCTAAGTCTGTTCATCATCTATTCATCTATCTATCATATCTATCTATCTATTTCAGTCTGTTCATATTTATTAAGTTCTGTTATCTATCTATCTATCTATCTATCTATCTATTTCAGTCTGTTCATATTTATCTAAGTCTGTTCATATCTATCTATCTATCTATCTATCTATCTATCTATTTCAGTCTGTTCATATTTATCTAAGTCTGTTCATATCTATCTATCTATCTATCTATCTATCTATTTCAGTCTGTTCATATTTATCTAAGTCTGTTCATATCTATCTATCTATCTATCTATCTATTTCAGTCTGTTCATATTTATCTAAGTCTGTTCATATCTATCTATCTATCTATCTATCTATCTATCTATTTCAGTCTGTTCATATTTATCTAAGTCTGTTCATATCTATCTATCTATCTATCTATCTATCTATCTATCTATCTATCTATTTCAGTCTGTTCATATTTATCTAAGTCTGTTCATATCTATCTATCTATCTATCTATCTATCTATCTATTTATCTATCTATTTCAGTCTGTTCATATTTATCTAAGTCTGTTCATCAGTCTGTTCATATTTATCTATCTATCTATCTATCTATCTATCTATCTATCTATCTATCTATTTTCAGTCTGTTCATATTTATCTAAGTCTGTTCATATCTATCTATCTATCTATCTATCTATCTATCTATCTATTTCAGTCTGTTCATATTTATCTAAGTCTGTTCATATCTATCTATCTATCTATTTATCTATCTATCTATCTATCTATCTCCCTTTGGAAATTTGTTTCTGTTTTGTTTATATGTATCAATCTATATATCCCTCAGTCTATCACAGTCTATTCATATATATTTGTCTACATTTTTTCACCTCTGTATATCTATCTGCCTATTTATCCATTGATCTAAGCGAACACTTGTATTACTGAACAGTAAAACATAACACATACAAATCTCAACCGATTCTAAGTCTGTTTTTCAAATTGTAATATTTTGTTTCAACGTCAAATTATAATATTTTGTTTCAACTTTTTCTGTTCATTATAATGTTACAAGTGTTAAAAAATCCATAGAAATTTGGGCTGAACAAAAAAGTGTAAAAAATAACAAGTTCTAGTGACCCACATGCATGCTTGTGTTTTTTTTGTTTTTTTGTTTTGTTTGCATGTGTGACGTGTTCGCTTGTTGGGTGTTTGTGAGTTTTTGTTGTGTGTGAATATATACGTTGTCTCGATTCAAAAAAGTCAAGAAATGGGATAATATCTTTCGTTTCTTCCTTCCTTCTTTCTTTCATTCATTCATGTAGCCTTAGCTACCATGCGCGGTGCACGATAGGATGATAATATCGCTTTTTCATTCGTGATTGGCTTGACGGAAGAATTCCCGCGTTAGACCGCTATTGTTTTCTGTGGTAGACTGGTTGCTAACATATGTTATTGAACCCACTCTGTTCTGCTAGTTAACTGATAGCTAGAGAGAAATAGATGGATTCATGCCTTTCACAAAGTTATTCAGGCGTAAGTGAATGTATAGAACTCAAGTGGAATTCGAACTCGGTTCTCCGATTTCTCATTCCGAACTATTATTCTTTACACCCTAGCACATTCAAGCTTACAAAATCTGGTATTCCCAAATGGTCACCCATCTAGATTCTAACCAGAATCGACATTGCTTAACTTAACAGTGTTCGAACGGGAACATGTTTCAACGTCAGAAGTCTGTGATGATGAATGAAATACACTAGTAAATCAAAGAATACCTTCGTTTTTCAACTTCATAGCTCTAAATGTTGACTTTTTTTGTTCATTATTATATCAAATAAGGTATTTTTTTTTCAATTTTACGGTCTGAGAAAGATTTGTCTGTCCGAGTAAAAAAATAATGTATTGATGCGCGCATACGTATGTGCATGTGTGTCAGCGTGATAAGGTTCTAGTCATATAACCCACAAGGAATTTTCCCGCTTTAATACAACGAAATTTCTTAGTTGGTTTTCTTCTTGATTGACTTTTATTGAAAAAAATATCATATGGAAAATAATCCTTGGAGGATTGCTTGTATCTCGCATTATTTATCCAAAATAATATTTCCTTCTTGATAGCTCGACTGCATGAACTGAAACTTACTACTCGATTGGCAACTAGGTCTCATGGTTTTACTGCTGAAAAAAAACTAGGTACAACAGTTATTCCCAGTCTAATAGTTTCTTAGAAAGGAAATTATTAGAATGGTAGTAACGATTACATCTCGCCTGTGGAACTCTCGTTTGTTGAAATCTCGCCTGTGGAATACTCTACCGGTTTCATGTTTACCCGCCACCTGCAATCGCCATGTTCTGTCTTTTCGAACTCAGTTCTTTTATTGTCCTTTTTATTCAGTAACATTTTCTCATTTTCTTTTTTTTTTTTTTCACTCTCGGTAACCCATTGCGTTATAGTAGCATTATCGCTTTGCTTGGAGTGAAATTATTATAAAACTGTTCACTAATATGACCTAATGAAAAACAAGGACTGAATATTTAATAAATATACATTATATCATTTTTACAAAGAGAAATAATCAGATAAAAACAGTCTATTTTATCTGGTCTGTTGCTTCTTGAAATTTGAAGTGACACACTTTTTGTCATACTTTTCCAGTCTAGTACTGCGTTTAAATTCAAACAGCCCAGGAACAACAGCGAAGAACGATATTTATTTGTAAATATATACAAAATGCGGCACAAGGTCACAATGGGAAAAGGGGAAAAGGACGGTCTTGTTCTGTCTTAACATTAAACTTAGCTAGCCACAAACACTGACTCAAACATACAACAATATTCCTAACACCAAAACAACACATTCTTAATTACTTTTCTTACTACACCCACCATAATACCTCATTGTCTCTATGAAAATCCTAACTAGTCCCCATATGTACAATTCATTGCCTGCTGGCGGAGAGAAATAAAACAACAACGAAGAGCTCATTAGAACAGAACAATTACTATGAAGGTATTTATAGAAAAGCTACACGGAGGCAACTTTACAGAAGTGGGAAAGTGACTGAGGCCGAGGTGCCAGACCAGGACCGACAATATGGCTGACTCGTTTTATCAAGGATCTCAAGGTAAATAGCAAGGTCACCGGACCATATGTTGCATCAATATTCTAAGCCTGTCAAGCACGTCACACAGAACCAACTTCATTAGCAGCTGATCGAGCAATGGATTCAATATAGCCTTTACACCTCATGTCACTTATTTAATTTCTATTCATCGACCTCCTGCTGGGTGACTTTCACAGTTCCCTTACATGTCAATCACACATCTTAGTACAGATGATGCATTTTCTTGTTAAGACTTTTTACTTTTCTGATGGAGGAAATTCCATCGAAAACGATGCAATTGAAAAAAACGGTTAAAATTACGGAAAAATGAGAACTTTCCAGATTTTGTAACTATAAGCTAATAGTGGTACTATTCAGTATTAACCTCGATTATCTGCCCTCTATGCTGCAGTAGCAAAAATTCTGGCTCCTCAAAAGACTTGAAAAGAATTTAAGAATTCCAGAGAGTCTTTGCCAAACATATGGAGAATATTTGTTTTCTGTTGTGTGTCTGGGTGCGTTTCTTTGATAACGGTAATTTGCAAAATCTATGCAATCTGCCAATGAAAATTTATATCAAGAGACGATTTAATTTACTTCTTGGTCGGATGTGCAAATCAAGAACAGTGCCAAATGGCTTTATCATGTGAATTGACGTTACAGAAACACAAAAAAGAACGATAACACGTAACGGAAACCACATCACTTCAGGACATTCATCAACAACTAAAATGGTTATCATATGTAACTCGAAGAAAAAAAATGACATAAAATACTGTCGTTCCACACTGCATCAAACAAAAGGCTAAAAAGGAAACTCCCATCTATACTGGAACGAGTGATAACAGTGAACTTGATAAATTTACTTTCCTGAAAAATTTGTTTTGATAAAAAATATTTTATATTAATTTCAGCCCAACTATAGCAATGGCTGCTCTGTCAATGAATACCGAACGTTTCATTATGAGGAAACGGCCTTTATTACAAATCTTTAATCGGTTGAATTATTTATTATTTTATGTGCTGTATCGTTACTCTTTGCAACGCTCTTATCTTTTACTGTCAGAATTTATGGGATCGGCCACTTTCCGACCACCGTAAGGTAGCTTACCTTTGCCTTTTCGATAAATATTAATATTTCCTCTTTGAATTTACATTTTATTCATGTCGATACTTCATCACTTACTCACGGCCTGTGTGTGTGTGTGTGTGTGGTTGGGCGGGGTGCTTGGACACCCCCATCAATATACGGACCCTAAATTCGCCTATAATGTCTGAGAAAGTCTGTCCAAAACATCTGTGGCGGTTTTTTGTTTGTTTGTTTTTACATAATTATTACTTATAACTATAAACGATATATCTAGTTTCAGTTGACACCTTTTTTTTTTTCGCAACAGTGAAATTAATATCAACCGGCCTAGAATGTCCTATTAAATGAAAATGTGCTTTCAACAGGAATCGAAACCCTATACCTTTTATCCACTAAGGAAATCATTCTTATAACCGAAGCGTGCCGTTGCCGATACGCCATTACAAGTTTTTGTTTTTTTTTCCTAAGGAGAAAAGAGAATACAGGTTTAGTTGTTTTTGAGAGGCACATGATTCTTTAATTGGACTTCTCGATCTAGGCCGGTAGATATAATTTCATTGTTTAAGAAAATAAAAAAACAGGGATATCATGTCAAACATACCCATTAGAAATAACGTTTAGCAATAAGAAATAATGTAATAATTGAAGAAAAAATTTAAAAATATTAATCTGTTCAGCATTCAGGTTCCCATGATTGGATTACTGGAGGCAGGTGTTAAGTTACGTACTTCTGCATTCGATGACCGGCACATAAAGTAAACGAAATGGTAGATCAGGCTTCTTTGTTAATCTGTTGTGGCTACTTGTATTATGTATTCCATTATGATGCCCCCAAAATTATAAAATTTATTTAATGATGAAACCTACAATTTTACTACAAAACACGAATTGTTAAGGAATCGTAAACATTAGACTGGTGACTATTCATTGCTATCAGCAATATTCTTTTTTTCAGGTGGGGGTCATATTTAGGGTCATATTTTAGGGTGTATATTTTATGGAAAATTCATTATAATGTCGACATTTTATTAAGGTCATATATCGTTTTATTAATTATTGTTTTCATTTTACAATTTTCTTTTCGTTTGCCTCTTACCTCTTCGTTTTTCATTTTTTCAATAATCGAGTTTATGTCTACCTGGAGGCATATCTTGAGTAGACACGGCTTGTTGTTTATAAGTCGTAACACGCCAAATGCAGGAAAAAATGCAGGAAATGCGCACACAGAGGCCAAAAAATGCGTTGGAAGAAACGCTAAACGAAAACAAATGCCTCATCAAAGGAGACCCATTTCTTTGTTCTGCAGACTCGAACCAATTGTTTTATCGCGGCGTATTCTCGAATCAATGGCATGTCTTGTGCAATTTCCTTGTTCTCTTCTTATTCTCCTGTGAATCTGTCTTTGAGAGGCTCGCTTATGTTATTTGTGGCCAGTTCCATGACGTACGGTTCATACATAAATACAAAGGCTCCATCAGTGGGCGCCGACTGCAGAGGCGTAACTATGGAAAATGGCGCCCATAGAAAGGACTAAAATTACACCGCCGTCTAAACAACTGATACCCTACTAAAGTTCGAAGTTGACCGTCTTCTTCTTTATGCCGTGTCCTTCAGGAAGTGGGCGATCATGCCTCTCCACATTTTCCTATCCTTTTTAGTTCTTAGAAAAGTCAGTAATGCAGATAGAAGCATACTTGTACTTTTAAGGGAAGTATCCCCCTTTTGTGTTTCAAAATGCCGTGTCTCTTCGGGACGTGGATGATCACACAACTTTCTCTTCTGCCCTTTTGCTATTTCTCCCGCGCTTTGTTCTCATGTCCATTTACACAAGCTCATTAGGTATGTTACTCGGACTTACTTTCTGTTATTTTTGGTTTTGATATGTCCTCTGAGTGTCATATTTTCCAAACCTTCTTTCCTCTTTTCTATTTAAGTCTATATACATTTACTGGGTCTCTGAATATGAAAATATGGTCGTTTGTCTTCGAATCTATAAACATTTACTTAGGTTAATATTGGTCATTTATATTTGAGTCTATAAGCATTTTATGGACAGTTTGGCACTGAAATCCGAAGGTACATTGAGATTGCTAAAGATGCATTCCAGAAACTAAGCACACTATTAAGAAAGCGAAAAAATTCGTTGGAAACAAAGAAAAGAGTACGCTACTGTTACCATTTTATCAGTCCAGCACTATGGCAGTGAATGCTGGACAATTTCTTCAAAGATGAAGAAGAGGTTTCAAGAGACTGAAATGTGATTCTACAGAAGGATCTTGAGGATACCATCGACCGAACACGTGAGCAACGACGAAGTTGTAGAGAAAAAGGGAACATATGCATCATCAAGATGAAACAGTTCAAATTTCTAGGGCACATAATGAGGAAAATGGGCTTGGAAAATCAGATACTCACAGGACAGATTGAAGGCAAGAGAGACAGAGGAAAACAACGCATAACTTACCTAGTGTGTTTGAGTAAATGGATCGTGGATCAAGATTTAGGAGACATAACACAAGACAAAATTTATTAAGACCTAGAAAAGACAGGAAATTGTGGAGAGCCGTGATCGGCTACACACTGAAGGGACACGGCGCATTAACGAAGAAGAAGAAGAAGAAGAAGAAGAAGAAGAAGAAGAAGCATTTTTTTGATAGGTGGTCTCTTTTGGATGGTGCCTCTAGTATCTACGGGAGTTGTAGTCAGCCTATTCCAGGCAATGACGACACGGCCGTCAACATTAGGTACATCGCTTTACACAGCCATGGATCGATACACCAACCTATTTAATACTATCTCGACATCCAAGTTCAAATCAGAATAAGACAATATTCATACAGTTCTCGCTAAAACCTCATATTATTCTCAACTTTCAACTGACTTCGATAAATGCTCCTGTTTGCTCATATGGATATTTACTAAACTTTTATTCATGCAGAAGGTTCGAGACCTATTCTAACCGTTGTTTAATTTAACGCCCCCCCCCACTGCATACAATGTATATGCACACCATTTCTTGCTGCTCGGTCGATTACAAATTAAAAATAATAACTCTGAGGCTCCAACTGCATGAATTTAAGCGTGCTACTAGGTTGGCATCACGGTCCCACCCTGTTGAAAGAGTAAAATGTAACCGCCGCTTCTACTCCGACAGCTTCTTCTTTTGTACTTCCCGACAGCAGAACTCCCTTCCTCTTACTTGCTTCCCTGATAACTATAATCTTCAACAATTTAAATATAATGTCAATCGACATCTTCTGTTGCCTTGATCCCCGTTCTTTTTTATCCTCCTTCGTTCTTATTTTTATCCTTTCCTCAGGTCCTCAGCCCCAATCTCTTACCTTACTTACACTCTGCTTAATATATATATATATATATATATACATATATAAATATATAGATAGATAGATAGAGAGAGAGAGAGAGCGATACGCCCAAAATAAATATTGACGTAGCAAAGGAATTTATTTAGTTATATAAAAGTATCAGTTGATATATCACCTGTGGCTACATTGTCGTCTAAGTTTTATTGAGATGCTAGGTTCAACTAAGTGATTGATTGATTTGATTTTTATGGTTTATCAACACTTTGCAGGGTTTTTTTAAAGCTAGAAATTATTTTCAGTTTGAAAGGATTTTTGAGATAATAATTATTTAGTGATAAGGGCTGTATTAATTAACCTTCAAAATAAAATTAAAATACTCTGCATAAAGACTATTTACCTTCAAAATAAAATTAATATACTCTGCATAAAGATTATTTACCTTCAAAACACAATATATTATTTCGAAAAAAACTACAAATTCAAAAAGAAAAACAAACTCTCTGAATTTTTACAAGTAACTAATAAATAAAACTTGTCTAAATGCTGTTTGTCTACTGTATTAAGTAACAACAGAACCAACAGCAGCTGCAACAACAACAACAATAATAATAATAATAATGAGGGCCTTGCATTAGAAATCAGAAGACTGTGGAATCGGAAGACATTACCTGCTGTTGTTGGGTTTTTGGGAATTATATCAAAAGACGCAAACAGATAGGAGGATCAAATTTTTGGTAGCCCTAAAATATGTGTATTTAAAAAAGGCACGCACGTGCATGCTTCTAAAATCTTGCGCTTATTTCACTTCATGTAGTGATCACAATTACATACATTTTCCTCTCTTGATTTATTCCAACTCATCTGTTTGTAACTTCTGGTATAAAAAAAAATCAAAAAACATACAGATCTTTCTACAAACGCCACTTGTGTTGAGAAAAAAAGTTGCATTTTTAATCAATAACTCAAATGGAATGAAACGCGGACAGTGTCAATGGAATGCAGCTGTTATATAAGTCACATGATGGGGAGTTCGTGCTCCACCTGAAATTTGTTCCGGTCATTGAATGGTTAGTAAGAGAAATTAATCAAACATTTTATTTGAAAAGTTATGGAACTATTCTGTCATTTTGTTCACCTACTTTCCTGCACGGGTGGCAGTGGAACTTTAGTAGCTTGCATATGTAATTATCTTCATGCGTTCTAAGAGTTAAAAGTTCAGTGGATTCCGGATAATCATTTATTTATAAATTTATTATCTTCTGTTATCATTATTCTGAATATTTATTCTGAATAATAATAATAATAATAATAATAATAATAAGGGAGAAGAAGAAGAAAAAGAATTACATTTTTTTCTCTCTAGTTGTATAGGAGATTACCTGTTTGCATTTTCTGGTACAAAAATTAGTTTTCTCTTTAATTCCTAGACTGAAACTTGGAGGTTACTTGTTCAACACAAAGACAAACCGTAATAATAACAATGCAATAAAACTATATACTCGCATATATAGATACATGACTAGCGATATATATATATATATGTGTGTGTGTATGTGTTTATATGTATGTATGTATATAAATTATAAACAATAGGAATTAGTATTACTCCATGATATTGACGATAATCATTTCATCTTCTAAATTAGAATTAAATTACAAAGATTTTCAAATCCATCAGGTTAACAAGAAAAATAAAATAAAACCCCTTTATATGCTCTGTTTGAATAAAACATTGAGCTCTTTCTGTGAAGCAGTTTTAATATTTTATTTTATGTTATATTAATAGGATTCACTTGGATTATATGTCAACTGTATCTCCTGTGTGTATATATATATATGTGTGTGTGCATGTATATGCGTGCACATGTGTGTGTGCACACACACATGCATATATACACACACACACACACACAATATATATATATATATATATATATATATATATATATATATATATATATATATATATATATATATATATATATATATATATATATATATATATATATATATATATATATATATATAGTTTATATGCTTAACTGTTTGTTTGCATTCTTTTATATATGACGTGAGCAAACGTTTATTATTCCATCACGTATATATTCCCGATATATTCTGCACTGAAGTTAAAAGCTTTCTTCATTCATTTTTTAACGTTTCATTAGAGAAATATTTGACATGGGCAATTGCTGTGTATATAAATAAGAAACTGGAATAATTATCTTGTCGTAATTTCTGGCGAATCTTTTCTGTTTATTCTCAGAACAATTTGGCTTTTGTTGCATGATCCATCATCTGCTAATGATGTGTTGGCTTCTTGTACAGTTTCATCAAAACACGCACGCCTTTCTCGCTCATTTGTAACGTAAAGCACTTAAAAAAACACACACGCGCGCATGCAAGCGCGTACTGTGTTTATACACACGCGTATATATATATATATATATATATATATATATATATAGATAGATAGATAGATAGATAGATAGATAGATAGATAATATTAGTGCTTATATATATATATATATATATATATATATATATATATATATATATATATATATATATATACATACATACATACATACATACATATACATCTAAAAGTTTCCAAGAGGATAGAATCCAGTATAACCCAATGCCCAGGACAGAGTAAGAATATAATATAACGTCTTAAGCACTAATACTCTATGGTTATAATTAGTGTTTACGCCTTTTATATATATATATATATATATATATATATTCAGATATATATATATATATATTCAGATATATATATTCAGATATATATATATATGAATATATATATATATGTATATATTCATATATATATATATATATATTCAGATATATTATTAATATAGATATATAATAAATATATTTTCTGTTTTTATAGATAAAAATATTTAACTAAATGCTCTGTTTATAACAAACAGTATTAACAACATTGATCGGCATTAATGTCCAAGAAATTCCATAGGAAATATGTGTCCTCCGACAGGAATCGAACATAAATCCAACACGGAACAGTCATATAGCCTGACGTGCTATACTATTTAGCGACGGAGGAAGTTCCTGGTTAGCAAGGTTAATATGCTCTGTAGCTAAATGGTATAGCACATCGAGCTATATGTCGGTTCGGTGTAGGATACAGGTTTGATTCCTTAGGCTATATGTAGGTTTTGTGTAGGA